TGAAATCAAAGAGCCTCTTCACAATTGCATCTCAATAAAATCACAGAGAAACAGAGATTTTATCGATGTGTATAACAATGTGCAAATGAATTACCACTAACCATTATAAAAACATACCAAATTGTTACTGCCTAAGATCATGTAATATTAAAGCACGAATAAACATTTTAAATCATTTAATAAAAAAAAAAAAAAATCCTCTTAGGAAAAAAATGTTTAAAGGACCATCCAGTAATTTAGGATGTAAAAGACCTTTTAAACGAAGGTCCAACATAGAACCCACTCAGATACCGCTGCAATTATCATGTTCAGTATTGATCTAACCTATAAAGCTCCCCTAGATACAAGAGGCTAAAGTAATGAAGTCCTGGTGTGGCCCTGTAGGATAAGCACTAGACTGCTAACCGCAAGGTTGGCTGTTCAAATCCACCAGCTGCTCCTTTGAAAGCAGGTCGGCACTTAACTACAACAAATGAAATGAAATACAGTCAAATTCTAACAAATCACTTGAGAACTACTACAGTTTGCTATTAAACATAAAAGCGGGGTGCAGGGGTTGTAGAAGGAGAAGAGAGGAGAGTTTCAAGACTATTTGTAGACATAAAAAGTTAAGTAATTTCGAAGGCAAATTCTTTTCCCTTTCTACCTCCAACCCAAAAGATGCAATCAATATTTCAGAACCATCTGAGATATGAATGTGGACTAAAAGTCCTAATCAAAAGGAATTAAATAAAATACACATATTATTTTTCATTAAAAAGGTTGGCTGTATAGTCATATAAATGAAGAATTACCTTCATTGCTGAATTTAAAAATGTTTGATAATGTGTTTTCAGGAGTAACTTCAAAACTTAAGTTCTGACACCTTATCATACTGCTAAACTCACCGAAGTATGATGTTTAAGCTCTTCCCATTTGTTTTCATAACACATAACTGCTTGTGTTGTCATAGGAAATTCCTCCGGCTCAAAGTCTTCACTGGTTTGTATTCCTTTTGTACACTGGTCTGTGAAGTCACTCTGACATGCAGCTACCATGAAAATTATAAAAGAAATTTTCTTATCTCATCGAACAGTGCTACGATATATGGAACTCAAATAGTATAATATTTTTCATCTAGATGAGATAATTCATATTTTGCTCAGCGAAAAAAATCATTACTACTATTTTTGATACAAGCAATTGTGGAATTTGGGGATGATTCTGACCATAAGCAAATCCTATTACATTGCAAATTTTATGTTTTAAAAATTTTACAATTCACAGAAGAGAGAAGTTATACATTTACTAAAACAAAGTAAAGATATGCATAACAATACAAAAGTGTGAGCATCTGAGTGAAATGAAATACCTGGATTTGCTTTGAAACCTCCAGGAAAGAAGATAGAGAAAACACATGAAATGGGCAAAATGTACAACTATTAAAGCTAGGTACTTATAGATGAAGATTTATTTATTCTCCCTATGCTGAAAAACAGTAAAAATTTTTCATAAGTGTTTAAAAAATAAATTTACAATAAAGAAAAAATTAAATTATGCAGGAAATAACTTTAATCACCTCGCATATCAGGGGAATAAAACTGAGAAATCTGATAGGATTTCTGAAAATTAATTATAAGAAAATATTAATTGTAAAAAATAGAATAGAAAAAAATTTAAATTTAATTCAAAGAGATCCTTTCCATTCTAAATGAGAATTAATTTACCTTATTAATAAATAATACAAAAGTATCATTTTTCAACAATAATAGCCACTATACCATTTTTTCTTAGTGCAAATTCTTTATCTTTCTTTGGAGAGGACTTTGGCAGACGATTAGAATATATATTTTTTATATCCAGCTCTCTCTCTTTTTCCTGAAAATAAACCCAATACAATTAATCAAGGATGTGGACTCAGACTTTAAAATTAAACCAAAACCCTTATCTGGTCAATTGTATTTCCCTTCCCAGACTGAAATATACTGAGCTCAACTTCTCTAGTAACTGTCGGCTATAAAAGGAATGGTTCTAGCACACTTAGGTAAGGTAGATATCTGCACAATTTAAAAATTTTAAAGTTCAGTTTGCCTTGACAGTAAAAAAAACTGAGAACAAATAAGGCAAATTCTATTTTCTATTCATTTCTGACTGGAGTCCTGGTGAGGCACTGTAGGATAAGCACTGGATTGCAAGGTTGGTTTGAGCCACAAGGCTGGTGGTTCAAATTCACCAGCCACTCCATGGAAACCCTATGAGTCAGAAAAGACTTAACAACAAACCTACCTGATAGAGTTAATACTGTCTTGACTGGCTTCCAGACTCAGTTACAGAGACAAAGATGTAATTACATCATCTCTCAGATAAAAGTTCTGAAATCTGATGAGCCAAAAATTACACCATTCCTTTTAAAACCAGGCATTCTAAATCATTTTGTGCTATGGCTCTAAGAATTTTATTAACAAATAAAAATATGTAAGATAATATATGAGGAAGCTTCAAAAAATGGAATTACAAGATAATGGAATCTCTCCACCAACTTTTTGAAGTCCCCTAGTTTAAACATTTTATTTTGTACATAATTTCAACCTACCCTCTAGGAACATCTGATTTAACAAAATGAAATAATATGAATGCCTCCTCTACACACTGAAAATGAAGGGCTTTATTTGAAACAACTTTAACAATCATGGGGCTATATGAGGAAAAACACATCATTTCCTTCTAAAATTTTACAATTTATTTCAGTTATATTATTCTAATGATGTATTAAGTATTTCACTTTTGATATGGATTATAGTGCTTATACACTTTCCTTCTAAGTGCCAAAGATAATATTAAAATTTTGTTAATTATATTGTATCAACTTAAAATTATGAATAGTAACAACTACTTTTTAAAATATAGGGTTTCATTTAGTCCTAGTGTGGTTGTGTGCCTTCACACTGAATCCGACTCATAGCGACCCTGTACAGGGTTTCTGAGGCTATAAATCTCTATGGGAGCAGAAAGTCTCATCTTTTTCCCTCACAGTAGTGGGTGGACACTAACTGCTGACCTTGCACTTAGCAGTCCAACAGATAACCCGTTCTGTCACCAAGGTTCCTTAGGATTTCATCTAATATTACAAGGAAAAATAATGCAACTTAAAGTGCTTACCTTTAGTTTCTGATATAGTCGTTGTAGCTCTATTTGAAGAACTTTATTTTCATCATGAGCTTCATATGCCTTTTTCCTTTCAGCAATCAACTGCCGTTGGAAACTGTTCGTACTCAGTTCAAGGTTTTTTGATAGTTCCTGTAAATAAATGGATGTTTTTTAATCCAGCACTAAAACACTACACTTAGCAGTGTCAAAATGTTTTCAGTGGTACCGTACAAGACATACAAATAAATCAGGCTGTGCTTAAATGTTCATAAACATAAACTGGGAAACAACACTTTCCATCATTTGCCTGTCAGTCATACTGTAGTGGATTGTGTGCTGCAGTGGTGCTGGAAACTATGCCACTGGTATTTGAAATACCAGCTGGATCACCCATGGTGGAAAGGTTTCAATGGAGATTCCAGACCAACACAGACTAGGAAGATGGAGAGGCAGACTGCTTCTGAATGCATAACCACTGAAGACCTTATGACTAAGCAGTAAGACACTGTCAGGTACAGCATTAAAACAACTGTGAGAATGGAGCAGGACCAGGCAGTGCTTTGTTGTATGTATGGTGCATAAGGTTGCTATGAGTCAGAACCGACTTTACAGCACCCAACAACAATAGTAACATGCAACACTTTACTAAGTTACCTATCCTATCATTCCTTTCCTTGTTTTTCACAATGATTTGTAAATAAATTCTTATGCATCTGCCTGAAACATCATTAAAACCAAAACCAAACTCGCTGCTGTGGAGTCGATTCTGAATTATAGCAAACCCTGTGAGACTGAGTAGAACTGCTTGTATAGGGTTCCCAGGGCTGCCAGTCTTTCCAGACAGTCTCATCTTTCTCTGCAGTCATTGTTGTTAATTGCCGTTGAGTCGATTCTGACTCACAGTGGGCCCTGTACAGGGTTTCCAAGGAACAAACGGTGGGTTTAAGCCACCACTTTTGGTTAGCAAGTCACTGCATATCCTGTAGTTCCACACCAGGACTCTCTGTGGAGCTGGGAACAACAGACAGACCAAAGGATAGGATGAGAAATTCAAGTGTTTGAAAATTACTGCTTGAGCAAATAATTGGCTACTTACTTCAAGGACAAGGGTTCAAACCCAATAACTGTTCCATGGGAAAAAGATAAGGCTGTTTGCTCCTATAAAGATTTAAGGTTTGGAAAACCCTACAGAGTGTCACCATGAGTTGAAAATTACTCTATGGCAATGGGTATTTTTAATAATAACTAAATAATTAAAGGCAGCACTA